ATTTACATGATTTATTTACAACATTTTAATAACAACAATTAATTTTTACAACAATTAAAAATTAAATTTTATTAATTTAATAGGGTTAGGGTTAGGGTTAGGTTAGGGTTAGGGTTAGGGTTAGGGTTAGGGTTAGGGTTAGGGTTAGGGTTAGGGTTATCGTATATATCGTATAAAATCGTATATATAATATCATACCAAAAGCAACGGTAGTTATTATTCGCCGATAGATGGCGCTGGCATCACTACCGTGACTTTAAGAGAAAAAAAATCGGCGACGGTACCGTTGCAGGAGACACAGCCAAAAATATTATTCCTCAGAGTTGAATGAGCTATAACAAAAACGGCTACGATGCCAAGGTATTATTATTATTATTATTAAATCTTTATTGCATACATGTAATTCAGATACAAATACATGTACTGACGACAGTTTTTTCATGGAGAAAAAATCGGATAAAAGCAATAGTGTTGAGTAGTTAAAATGATAAAATTTTTGACGGACAGTACAATTACAATGCTATACAGCATGAAGAAAAAATAAATACAAAAAAACTTCAGCATATTCTGTACTAGTAAAGTGATTAAGACAACATGAAGACAAAATAGATACCTACCAGAAAAAAAAACTTCAGCAAAGTCTATACAAGTATAGTGATTAAGGTACACTTTAACATCATTTTGACACTCGTACGTACACCATTATATACATATTAGTATTATTACACCAGCGAAAAAAATACACGGGAGCGGCGAGCGATTTCGCTCCCGTAAGCTTTCAAAGCGCTCTGGTAACAACAATTACGAGAGCGAAAATTTTGGAAGATACGAGAAAAAATCGCTCCCGTGTCGCCGGCAGCGTTCGAAATTAGTTCGGACCCGGAGGCCCGAGCCCACCAAGTTTTTGCTCGGGCCACCATCTCTACGAAACTGCCAGTCCTCCTGACCGGCACATTTTCCCCTCATATTACGCTGAAGTACTACGGTTATCACAACGGCAGTTTAGACAGACTTGTAAACAGGAGCGCATAATACGTCCCGTTCCTCAACGTAGACGGGGTACCTATCCAAAACATCTGGAGCTGCATAAACTCCCTCAACGCATGATTCGCCACACGAACATAAACTCGCGACAGTCTAAGAAATCGATTGTGGCACCGCCGGCATGTAGTGCAGGCCAGTGTTTTTATGACCACATGATAATAAATTTTATATATATCGCAGGGGTTATCGTGGGGAGTGAGGGCACGACCAGTGACACCTGACACGCACGTAATCAAAGCTGTTAACTGCATTCGTTACTTTTCTTAACGTAGAAAGTGGACTGTTTATATTCAGTTAGATATCTAGAAGCAATGTGAACTGTATATGCTTAAAGATTCTAGGGCAGCATTTTGTAACTTTGCGGGTATGGCGGGCAGCATTGATGTTATGCATATCATACATATCTATAGTAGTATATATAGTCAGTCTATAAGTAGTAATACTGACTTCGCTATAGTTGCAAGTCATAGGAAAGTAGCGCGAGGACCCGGGGAGGAGAAAAAAGCGAAAGTAGCCACCTTAGCCAGCAAGCTCCCGCCGACATTACCTATGAGCATTGAAAAATTATTTGAGCAGCACTCTTAATTAAGTTAGCATGTATGCTGTTTTAATGGGCGGGCAATGGTTATCTTTATATACTATTTATGTTACGCGACTGCTTGTAAATAAAGGCGGACGCACGCAAATTTTTGTGGCAGGTCGCACCAACTTTCTGAGTTGGTGGTCCTGCTGTGTCAGCGTAGATTTTCAGTGGCCGAAATTCGATCTGGAGCCTGCGGTGCGCGGCTGCGAGCAAA